TCCTTCCCCCGCCCCTCCTTTAAAGTCTGACTGCTGTAGTACTGCTAACTTTACACTCCTGGTGGGAGAGTTCAATTAAAGCTTGTGAAAAGGAAAAGAGATCTCAAGATCTGTATTGACCATAAGGGGAGGGTAGAAGAGGAAATTGACTAGTGGTGATGAAAAGTTTCTTTGTGCATAGAAAGGGAAAAGGATGAAGCAAAAGCTGAATAGCATCAAGGGATAGGCTGCTATCCACTGAACAATTCTTTCTCCTCAATGGAAGCTGTTACAAACCTTAGGCTGCATCCCAAAGGAGCATTATAAAAAGAACTCTGGCAGACAAAATGGGAATAGCTTAAATACATTTGTACTGGTGTGGAGAATTTGTTACATGCACATACCACAGTGGCAAGATTATGCAAAAGTCTGAATGTACCAAGAATGTGTGTGTGCTTGTACATGCAGACTCAGAGATACACACAGATTCCTGATACATTCAAACTTCTGCCTAATGTTACCACTGTGATGCGTGCATGCACACACACACACACACACACACACACACACACACACACACATCACATGAGGGAAATGTCCTGCCAAATGTCTGCATCCTGTTCAAACATAGCACATTTGGGGGAACTATTCTGTTGAATATATTCTGGAAACAGCAGGACAATTCTCCAATAGCTTCTCGAAGTGGGTGGGGTAGTTTATCAAAAGTGGCAAAGATTCCTTCTTGGTACTCTTGGTTCTCCTTGTGCTGTTCACTGTGTTGGCAGTCTTACAGCCATTTTTATTCTCCCACAATGCACCAGATCTAGCATTCTTTGCAAAGGGATGGCAACCCCCACAAAATACAAGGAAAATATATTTGTGAAATACCCCTCTTTACCAAAAGAGGGAAATCACAAGAATTCTGTCTAAATAATCTGTTTTGTGCATGTCTCTAAATGCCAGTTCCTAAGGATCATGGGTCAGGAGGGTGGCATTGTGTTAATAGAATCATAGAATCATAGAGTTGGAAGAGACCACAAGGGCCA